GGGGGGAAGAGTAAACAGGCAGAGGATCTGGTGTACAGGAAGCTGTTTGTGTAATTGACAGGAAATGCTGTTGTTCAATCATATGCCTGCTTTAGTTAGAGCACAAGTGAAAAATATGTTACCCCTTTTGAATACTCCTACTATCTAGTATCTACAAATATTATATGAAGTTTACATAAGTCTATCTACAAATAGATTGAGAAGACTTCTGCATTGCAGACTGAATATCCATACTTTCTACATCAAGGCTTCTTTATTCTTTTATTGGTATACACTTACTCATCAACTACATCAAGGCTTGGACTTGTTCTCTTCCTGTGCATAGAAGGATTCATAAGTTGCCACTCTGGTTTTTGATTCTGGTAGCTCCAGTTCTTCACTGAACCCCATCGTCATTTTCAAGAAGTCTCCCTTGTGCAACTGTTTCCATTCCTACAAAACATTTCCATAAGCCAACACAAAAATTAAGGACTTGCTAACTTCAGTTAAGAAAGGAAGCAACATCGACTTGACGGAAACTACTTCTAGTAGAGGTGCTCTTGCTTATAAATATTAAGCACCTCCTCCACTTCTAACCAGGACTCTTGAACAAATAGCCAAAGCTATGGGCCCCTAATACTGTTCAAGCTCCCAATCTTTCCATTCACTAAAATACAGCAACTACACCTCAATCCTAGTGTCAATCCTCAATTTCCATTCACTAAAGTGAAACTAAAAGATCCCCATTCAAACGATGGCATACTCCACAACGATCAACAACGAAGTTGCTCCATTTGATGGAGAAAATTATGGCTATTTTTAACTTCAAATGAAAGCTCTGTTTATATTTCAATTTTTTGGAAATAGCCAATCAAGGCTCTTCGGGAGATAAGATGCTGAAACTCTGGCACAATGCAGAAAAGAAAGTAGGAAATCATAAGGTGATGCTCTAACTAATTTGCATTGTTGTATCTAGCAAGGGTTAAGCAAATTTGCATTTTCAAGAATTTTTGGGTGCAAATAATTTAAAGAAGCATAATGAAGACCATGCATCAGGGGTGTTAAAAAGTTAATTGACTACAAGATATGGAGTTAATTGTTATATGTGAAGACCAAATATCAATTTAAGTTGGAACACAACTTTAGCTTCGACATCCTATGACTTTGGTGTTTAACAGAAAAACTTTTCAAAGACTTGATATTCAACCTTTAAATTTCTCAAGATTCTTCAGATTTTATCATACCCTAAATTCTAAAAACACAAATTTGCTCAGCATTCTCTGTTGAAAAGCAATGCTTTAGCATCTTTTCCCCAAGTTTCCTTCATGCTGATTCCATTTTGGTTTTTTCCAACGCACCGGAGCTTCACCAGTCTTAGCTTTACGAGGAAACAAGTTTGTTGAGTAGAATGAATCAAAAAGCAAAATAGAGGAACCTTCATGAAAAAGGGTCTCACACTGATAAAAGACCTAAACAAGTCCTAAACTTTATATGATCAAGTTGTGAGTTTTGTTTCTACAGTAAAATAGACTCTATAGGTTGATAAGCAGTAGTGTGCTGCCACAACAAAACTCTATCAGAACCACTTGGGGGTGGGGGAAAGAAGGACAAAATACCTATGAGTAACAAGTCTGCATGTATACGTTTGATTTCATACACGGATCAAACATGAGGACAAGTTGAAAACTGGAAACGTGCATTCAAACATGAAGAGGAAAACAAGGAATCCATAGTGTAAACAAGGTTATCGGACATTTATGATAACAAATATTCATTCAAAATCTCTCTTGAAGATACCGATTTGGTCCTTCCTTTCAAGTTTGGGATTAATGGAGACCTCAAATCAGGGGATTCATTAGTCTTCAAACAATTAAATGACTATAATACTTATAGGTTTGCTGAGACATGTTGATTATATGCTTGTAAATCTCAGATCAAATACAACTACCTACTTGGAGCTTACAATCAGGCAACCAAAAAATAAATATAACCCTTGCAACAAACTACATTTTATAAATGCACTGTCCAGTCAAAATGAAGGAAAGGAAAGATAGGACTGGAGAAAAAAGTATACCCCCTCTTCGTATCTTTGCCCAACAAGCAGTTAAGAGAGGCGTAGATATATAAGATCTCACGTTTACCTCAAAGTCCCATTCTCCGTATAAATTTGGATCTCTCTTGTCAACCCAAACATATGTTTCAGCCTGCAATGTCTTGAAACTATCCTGCAAAGTGAAGACATACTCTACAAACCGAATACAATTGCAAAGTTGAAACTAATAGTTCAGTAGATCCAATAAACAGGAACATCTAAACTCTCAGACTGATCTCACTCATGCTCAATATCATGCTTGAGCCATGAAAAGAATATTCGTAATGCAACAATTTTTAAGAACTTTAGTGTATCAATACCATCAGTGAAACATCAACAGTCGTCCTTTCATACTCAACGTCCTCAAACATGTCCAGGATATTTAATTCAGGAACTGTGATATCCAAAAGAACCTGCAATTTTATTAGAACAAGCATATTTAGAAGATCCGAGGTATAGGTCCAATTTTTCATAAGATCTCAATGACAAAGAACTGCATTAGTAGTTTGTTATCACTTCTAGTACTAATATTTGCAGCTATGGTGCTTGTAATGAAAATAATTTTGGTGATTCATTAAGCATGTCTAAAACAGCTCGTAAGGATTACATAATACAGAGAACAGGCGTTCTAAATGCTCTAAAGTACAAAGTCGGACGGTTCAAAATACCTTTCTGCCAATGCTCTACAACAATACACCAACAAAAAAAAACGGAAGCTCTATAGAAAGAAAATGTTGAGAGGTTCAACAAACCTTCCCAGCAACTTTCTTGTTTTCTACGGGTAGAATGGCAGGATAAACACGCCCTTTAATGCTAAACCTGTGGCTACACCAAAATAATAGAATCAGTGGTTACTGGTTACCGCTAACAAGATAATAAAAAAGATTATCCCCCGTCACTTAGAGAAACAATGAACAGAACAAGTAAACACAAATTGGCATTGGATACAAGCAAAACAGCAAAGGAAACCCCATTGCCGAGCATTTGTTAGAATCCTACTATTGGGATTTGAGAATTATCAACAGGTAACTACAACTTGAGAATGCGTACAACCAAAACCAAAACAAATCCCATTACCAAGCATCTCTTTAGTTTCCTGCTTAGTCCTGTTGATACACATTAGATCTGGTATTTGCCAGGAATCTTTTTAATTAGGAGTCTTTTCAGTTTGTAGAGTTTCGTATGTCAATGGAAAACATAGAGAACTCTTAATTTGTCTTAAAATATATTATAGAAAACTAGAATTACACATATCCAAATGGAGTGGATGAATATTTAGATTCATACAGCCGAGTTCAACTAGTTTGAAGAACACTATGCTGAAGGTATCAGTTGCATGAAATTTCATATAATAGCACGGATCTAAACTCGTGGATAATGAGTCCACTCCTCTACCCATCTACTGGACTTTTGGCTGCAGCATGATTCAAACCTTTGGCGTGCGACCTAATCCACACTTCACGTGCTAGCTCTTACTGCTAGACCAAAGCCCTCGGGCTAATAGTATCACTGATTTATGACTGAAATATTAGAGGCCGTTCAACTGAACTTGGCATTCTCTACACTTAATAGATGTTATATGTGAAAATTTAATAATTTTTTTAAAAATTAAAATAAATTAAACTCATAATCCCAAATGTGTATTTGATGTAGTGTTAAAGAACTTAAATGTTAAACTCATTAAATTTCCTGCTTCCACCTCTGAGTCAGAACACGTCGAAATTAGAATCCATAACCTCCCAAAATTTCAGCTTAGTCCAAGAATTAGATTCCAAAATTTTCTACTATGTTCCTTTTAATTTTCTTAAAATATAGTGCCCATCGGCAATACCCATAAACAAAACACATATTCAAGCTTCGTCTTCTTCGTGCAAATGGAACCACAAATCAAAAAGGTAAAAGTGTAAAACAAGATCGATGGCTAATAAGTAACAGAATTTTATCTATTCAAAATAGAAAATAGGAAAGAGGACTGACTAATTGTGGAGAATAGCAGGATTAGATGGAGGGACGCGTTTGAGAAGTGCACGAACGACGTCGTCAGCTAATAGACTGCCATACACGAACACATTGAACACCGACGCCATTAGCAGTTCCCGAAATGGAGGAGAGAATTTTTAACTTATTTAACTGTCAATCATTGGTGAAAAAACAAAACTGTCAATATCCAATGAATAAATTTATGAGCATTTGACGCTTATGTCTAGGGGTGAAAATATGAACCAAATCGAAATCGATAATATTTTGATTTTGCTTGGTTTTGAAAATGGACTAAGTTTGAATCAAACTGTTTGATCTGATTTTAATTTTAAGCAAAAAATAGTTAGAAAAAATCAAACCAAACTGATTATAAAAATATCTACTTAAAACTTAATACACATATATGTATATTCTTTTATAAATTTTATGATACATATTAATTATTTGCATTCTTGATTTATAGTCTGTATCTTTGCAAATTTAGTAATCTAGTTTATTGTGTTTACATTCTAGTTTGATTGATATTTTTTATTTTGTTAAGTCCATAAAACTACTTTCATATTAAAAATAACTTGTATTTAGTTGAATCTTTAAACTTATCACATATAATTCAATTATCATCAAAATATCTTGGTAAATGATATATTTTTTCACAAAGAGTAATTGATTCGATCGTGTTATATTGGAATATAGTTGTCAGGTATGCATTTGGCTGTGTATATTTTATATTTAAGAAAAAATTGACAAAAATTTGAATAAACCGAAATATGACAAAACCGATGAAATTGAACCAATAAGAACTTGACTTATTGGTTTAGTTTGATTCCAATATTTTAAAAATAGACTTAATTGAATTGGTTTCTTTTTAGGAAAAAATCGATCCAGGTCGAATAATGAAACCCCTACTTGTGCATTCTGTATTCTAAGTGACTAAGTTATGTATTAATAATGTATACATATGCAAAGAATTTCTTTAAACAAGTATGAGATTTATACAGAAATTAATTAGTTCGGTCAAATTCATAACCAACACATTAGTTCTCCCCCTGCTTGTCAATCTAATAAATTTATAAATTGATTAATCATATTCTTTCTGGTGAGTGCTTATCTTTTTAATAATGGAAGTTCATTCTCTTGGAATCTTCCAAATGTTGTCATCCAAATAATAAAACTGGCAAAATCAAGTAATAAAAAAAGTTATTTAATTTTCGTAATATGAAAATATCTAAATTGACGCATGTAGCGTTCAGATTTAGATTATGTTTATGTGGCAACGACGTAGATGATATGACTAAAGTGTGTGTCTGTTAGAAGGTTCGTGAATACAATGATTTTTATTTAAACAAAAAGTACTCCTTCCGATCCTTTTTATTTGATCTTTCAGCATTTTTCATTTGGTCCAAAATAATTAATTTTTTCAAACCCAAGAACGGATTAATTTTTTCTAAAGTCATTCTTACTAATAAATGTTCTAAACAAACTTTTAATTTTTTTTTTTTTGCAATTTCTATGAGTAAATCTGAGAAAGACAAAGATTAATATGTCAATGACATTTTTTTATTAATGTTTAAATTAACTTTCTCACAAGTGCGCAAAAGCTAAAAAAAAAGTCAATTTTGTAACCTCATGAAAGTAAAAGAAAGGGTAAATTTTTAAATCTCTCGCGATGTTTAAACAATCCAATAGATATTTACACTAAATAATTTGATAACATCTTTCGGGATGTTCAAACAATCTAATGAATATTTACACTAAACAACATGACTGCCTGAGAAATATTTGTTGTTCAACATCTACTATGATTATTTCGCCAAAGTGAAAATAATTGAGATTAATATGAATAGAGTTAGACGTAAAGAGGATAACCATTGCTCTCGGCGCACAATAGCAAGGAATGCGATTGTCACCGGAAAACGATGGCTCGTCGCCGGAAAACTGTGCATGACACTACTATATAATCGGGGAAGTTAATCACTCCAGCAAATGGCATACAAAAGGAATTACCACCACTCACATTTGGGAGCTTTCTACCACAGAAATACCATTCGATAGAGGAAATTCATGAAACTAATAGTTCTGAAGGTGATGTGCAACTTCAACCTGTCAAAGTGGAAGGAACAACGATACAAACAGCTCGACGATTACAGTACTCTGAAGCGAGTGGATCAGGAAAGCCAACTCCTACAGCAGCTTACATTATACGAGGGAATCACAGCTCACAAATGGGTAAACCCTTGTCTTTTGTTCCTCCAATTGATAGAGATGGTAAGCGAATTGTTAAATTGAACGAGGGGGATCACAATCTCAGGCAGATTATTGGAAAACCTCCCTAATTGGGTACATAATAGGAGAAAATCCTTATGAAAAAACTATGGAGAACTTTGTTATAAATGTGTGAAATTTTGTTACTAAACCGCATATACTAATTCATTATGAGGGATATTGTATCTTCAAATTTCACAACATAGCTGATAGGGACCAAGTGCTCCAGCCAGGGCCACATACATACAGGAACAAACCAATGGTGCTAGGGCTATCCGAAATTGATTTCTCATTCAACAAAGACATACAAAACATAGTGCCAGTCTGGGTAAGGTTCCCTGGGCTACCAATAGGATATTAGTCGACTGAGGATCTAAGCAAAATGGCCAGTATGGTGGGCAAGCTTCTATACACTGATAAATTCACTGCTCGTTATGAAAAGATATCCTATGATAGGGTTCTTGTGAAGGTGGATGCTACACATCCTCTTCCAGACCAGATAGAAATAGAATCACCTTTTGGCCCAATGGTGCAGACTATTGAATATGATTGGAGGCCTATTTTCTGTAATGACTGTCTGAAATTTGGTCATGATTCTTTTGACTGCTGGCATAACAAAAGCTACAATGAAGAGAAGGATAACAAGGAAATGGGAAAGCCAAGAAGAAAAAGAAGAAGAACAAAGAAGCCAGCTGGGGCTGTAAAGCAAACATGGATGGTAAAAAATCCAGAAGTGAATGCTGAAATAGAGGCAGAACCGCAGAGGAAGGAAGCCATGCAAGCAGACCCTGCTCATGAGCCTGATTGCACTAAGATGGTTAGGAAGAGTATAGAGCTTGTAAAGAAAAATACTTTTATGCCATGTCAGACCAAGGAAGGGGTCAACCTGCAGAATAACATATGTTGCAATCATGTGAGTGAAAGACTAGCTTGCAATGATAAAGGGAAGGCAACTGCTGAGCTAAGATATGATGAGAGAGGAGGGAAACAGGAGGATCCAGGCCTAACATGCTATCCAAACCACCACCCTAAATGATCATTGCCACTTGGAAAATTAGGGGCCTGAACTAGGACCATAAGAAGAAGGAGGTAAAGATCTTTCTGGCTCAAAATAAAGTAGATATAATGGGGTGTATTAAAACCAGATTTAAAGAACATAAGGCTAAGAAAATACAAAAAAAGACTGCTCATGGGTGGAATGTTTACTGTAATTATTCTTATGCTGTAAATGGTCGAATTTAGATTATGTGGAGAGCACATATACAAATTCAGATTATTCACACTACAGATCAATTCATCCATTGTCTAGTAGAGGATACCAGAACTCAAATTACCACATATCTCAGTATCATCTATGCCCAGAATGATGACCATCAAAGGGAGACTTTATGGAGGGATATTAAACAGATAAATATGCAGGCTCAGGGGCCATGGCTGCTTAGTGGGGATTTTAACAATGTTATATCTTCTGAGGATAGAATAGGGTCCCTTGTAATGATTGATGAAACACTGGGATTCAAAGGTGTGATTGATTTTCTACAGCTTACTCCTCTTAGGGCTAAAGGATGGCATTTCACTTGGACAAACAAACAAGGCACTGGTTTAAGAGTATATAACAAGATAGATTGGGATTTGGGGAACTATCAGTGTATACATCGATATGGTCATGTGGAGACATATTTCTTGAATCCTTTAGTCTTTGATCACTCCCATATCCTAATCAAGTGTGGTGGGCAGAATTATTACATCCTAAATATTTAGATTATATACAAATGTCATGGAACTTCCACAATTTCAAAATATTATTCAGCATGTTTGGAATCAGAATTATGATGTACAACAGGTCCGGTGCAAGCTGAAGGCTATGAAGATGCAACTGCAAGAATTTAATGCTTATATGGCTTCATACAAATAAAAACTTGAGCAGGAAAGAGAGAGAGAGAGACTGGTTATTATTCATGACCAGATTCATCAGGATCATTTAGCCCAAAACCTATTTGATTTAGAGAAAGACACACTAGCTGACATTAAAAAATGGAGCAATGTTGAGGAACAAGTGATGAGGCAGAAGTCCAGGGCCTGCTGGATTGAATGTTGTGATGCCAATACATAATATTTTCATGCTCAATGGAAGATTAGATCCAGCCAGAATAGTATAAACTCCATATACACTGACATAAGAATTAAGATAACTGATCCAAAACTGGTTGAGCATGAATTCATCAGAGTATTTAAGTCATTGATGGGAGATTGTGCTACTGAAATGCCTTGTGCAAATACAGCTATAATCAAAGAAGGATCATGCTTAACTGTGTCACAACATAGAGAATTAATCCAGAAAATTACTAATGAGGAAATCATTGTTGCAGTGTGGGAGATGCCTAGAGACAAAACACCATGTGTTGATGGATTTTCTGTGAAATTCTTTACTATAAACTTGAATATAGTGAAGGAGGGCATCTTTGCAGCTGTGAAGAACTTCTTTACTACAAGTAGCATGCGTGGAATGATCAATACTACAGCCATCACCTTAGTACCTAAAGTTCAAGCACCTTCAACAGTCAAGGACTATAGGCCTATTGCATGTTGTATCACATTGTATAAGATTATATCTAAAGCCATTACTAGAATAATCAAATTGTTCTTGATGATTTAATTGGACACTCCTAGTCAGCATTAACTAAAGGAAGGTGTACTATTGATAACATACTACTAAGTCATGAGTTGTTTAAAGGATACTCCAGAAAAGATATCTCTCCTATATGTGTGATGAAGGTGGATTTGAGGAAAGCCTATGATACCTTGGAATGGGGTTTTCTCAAAAAATGCTTATTAACCTTGGTTTTCCCTTCAAGTTTGTGCAATGGATAATGGTATGTGTTACTACAGTGTCATGTTCCTTGGTGCTAACTGGAGGACTAACCAAGCCTTTAAAAGGAAAAAAAAGGGATTAGACAAGGAGATCTAATGTCTCCATTCTTATTTGTCATTGCAATGGAGTATCTGGGAAAAGAACTGGGACAAT